CATTGCCCGTAAGATCTTGCAACTGTTACAACAGAACAGAACTCTCGTGTTCTGCTACAGGATGGAAAGGAGCTCTGCATACCGAGAACTACTTAAGTCAGCCCTTTGTGCGGTGGGCTAGTCGGGTGATTTGGGGTTGGGCAGGGTTTGGTTGACCCAAACCTTCCAGCCACACTTTCGTCCTATGGTCGACTTAGCCTCTAACAGAAATGAGTACCAGGAATCTTCCTGGGGGATGAAGGGCGGCCGGAGTGTAAGGATGACAATCTTAGATGCCATCTGTGAGCCTACTGTCTAGACAAAATGTGTGAACCTCGACGTCTCACACTCCCGTGGGCCTTGACGGCCTGTTACAGGGATAGCTTTGCCTTCACCTGGGATGGGTAGGAAAGGCTTGATCCGTTCACCATTGATCCATCCGTTTGTTCGTTCGTGAGCTTTGTAAAAAGAACTCGAACAAGTTTCGATCTTTGACGGGCGTTTTGTAGGCGTTATGTGAGGTTCCCTTACATTGGACGAATGTCGTATGCACTATCTGTAAACTGTAAGGACTACTTCAGGGACAAAACTTGAAATTAAATGATATTGTGTTTAGTGGTCTAGTGGTCAGAGTTCCTGCCTACAGATCCAGAGGTCCGGCTTCGATTCACGGAGCTACCACATTTTCTGAGGAATAGTGGGTCTGGAACGGGGTCTACTCAGCCTCGTGAGGATAATCAGGGAGCTATTTCAAGGAAATAGCGGCTCCGGTCTAGAAAACCGAAATTAACGGCCGTGGGGATTCGTTGCGCTGACCACGTGACACTCTGTATCCGTTAAAGTTGACACTAACTTCGCCGACAAGCGACGGTCGCTCGGTCGGTACAGTTCGCTTGCGGACTAAAACCACGGAGTTGTTTTTTAGTTGATTTAACGCTATTACTGTCCTATGTTTTAGGCCTACAACGTCGAATGGTATGATAATGCGCAAGAAATTGTCAGAAGTGTAGAAGGAAGTGACCATACTCATTCCAATCCTGCCGTTTAACTGAAGGAAACGAGTTGTCCTCCGAGCCAGTATTTGAACCCAGGACTGCTAGAACATGAAACGAGTAACACTGTTTCAATACTGAACGTAAAATCCAGTCTGTTTTCGATGTATTGGAAAAGAAATTCCTGCACGATATGGCCAAAGAATTCTCTTGCGGTATTTTCCCGCGGGCTTCTTGCTGGCTCTTGACAGGCCTGAATAAATAAAGTGGAGTTCAGAATGTGGGTGAAGTGAAGCTTTCCGGTTTCCATGCCCCCCCCCCCCCTCTCCTGCTTGGTAATTGAGGTCGGCTGAACGGTAGCTGGGTTGGTTCCCGAGTTCGAGCTCTGTTCTGGATTTTTTGTGCGCTTCAGTTTTGTTCTGTTAGAAATGATTTTCATTAGTTATCAATATAACTGTAGCGTAGTTGGTTTAGGCACTATGCTGCAAGCCGGAAGGTCGTGGGTTCAAGTCCCGATAGGGTGGATTTTTTTCCAATTGACCTAATCCTTCCAGCCGTACTATAGCCTTGGGGTCGACTCAGCCTCTAACAAAAATGAGTACCAGGAATATTCCTGGGGTAAAGGGTGGCCGACGCGTGATGCTGACAACCTCACCGCCTTCTGTGAGCCGATTGTCTAGAGAAAATGTGGGAGCCTCAACATCTCACAACCCTATGGGCCTCCACGGCCTGTTACAGGGATACTTTTACTTTACTTTACTATCAATGTAATTTGTTAGTTGAATATCAAGAATATAAAACAGTACTCCCATATAGAGAGGACCTGCCCAAGCTTTTGGTGTTCTCTTTGATTTTGCGTGCTATATTGATCATGTTGATTTATTCGAAATGGAAATCCTTTCCCAAGCGTCGTCACATTTTATTTTTCCTTGTTTTGTTCAGTATACAACTTTCATATGTTTAACGAAATCCGTGCTTTGTGTCATATGTCGAATTTTGAGACGATACTGCGTGAGGAACATTGAAGCAGCTGAGTCTTTCTTTAGAAGCTGATTGTCCTTTTACGAAGTCTCAGGGTTCGTTGCCGAGTTCGCAAGAGGACGCAACTGGACTCCATCCTTAGCCACATAAATGCCATTCATGTCACACCTTTCTGTAATAACATTTTGATATCCTCTCACATACCCCTGTGATTTCCTTCATAGTTCCACATCGGAAATTCAATATATCAGTTTCTTTTAAATTGGCAATAATACAGTGCGTTCAGTTACGGAGGAAACTTCGCAACACCGCTGACCCGGCCCAACATTCCTCACAGATTGCTACTGTGACTGCTGATAGCAGAATGAGTCAATAGCGCTGATAAATGTGCGCCGTTACAGTTAAGCAGCAATCTGTGAGGGATATTGGGCCCGGTCAACGGTGTTGCGAAGTTTCCTCCATTTTGAACGCCCTGTATTAAACAGATACGGACAAAAATAAAATGGGTTGTTCGTTACATGAGAATATCTCGGGTCGTCATAGTGGACGAGAAACTTGCATTCCATTGGACTTCGGACTGGTACGGGAAGCATGTCTCCATCTGAGTAGAAAGTGTTTTCACTTGGATGGGGATGATAGCAGCGAACATCACTTCAGAAGAGCTCTAATGAGGCAGTGTAAGACAAATTTCTGATTACCGTAGAGACAGACTTGCATCTGATGGATATGACAGGAGCTTTACCAGACGAAGTTGTTGTTTATTTTGGGCCCAAGCAATAAATGAGGCCATATGCAGCTGTGTGGGTGAGCCTGTTGAGTAGTATAGTGTGATTTTTATCTGCATTAAATAAACATGACTGATTGCAAAGACCGAGTTAGAAAATATGTACTCCGCTCGTTCTGCTTTCGTGTTTAAGAGAGTTGTTTATTTTGACAAGTCCAGCTTACCATTGAAGAGTACGAAAATTTCTGATCCAGTGTTTTAAGTAGTTGCAGTATGCCACTTCATTTTCCAACGATTTGATATCTCAGCATCAGCTTTCAGTATGGCTTCCGTTTTGCCACAGTGTTAACTACGTTTGGCACAAATATAGGGTGTTCCATTCAAACCTCCCATATGTTATCAGATCTTAGAACAGAAAGTGTGAATGGTAGGAAAATGAAGCTATAGGAAATACAAGAACTAAAAAATGTTATTTGACACACCAATAAACCTCTACATGTGCACCATTGGTAGCACGAACAATATCCAATCTGCGTTCAATTTCTTGCCACGTTCTTTCCAACATGTCCATTGGTACAGTACCAATCGTTTCACGGATGCGGGCTCCTAAATCTTGGAGTTCATTCACTGGAGGCACGAACACACGGTCCTTCACGTAACCCCAGAAGAAGAAATCGAGGGGAGTGAGGTCCGGTTAACGCGATGGCCACCGAATTGGTCCGCCACGTCCAATCCAGCGATCTTGGAACCTCCGAACATCCAGACCCCAATGTGGGGGGACTCCATCTTATGGGAAGATTAGTATGTTAGGTTTCAGATAGGCTACCTGGGGATACAGGAACTGTTCTAACATCACAAGGTATATGCAGCCAGATGATGTAGCTTCACCGAAAAAAAGGGAAATAAAATTCCTTGAGTTTTTCTTTCATCTAGTGTTAATTATAATCCATAATTTATCACAATTTGTTCGCAGTGATTAATTAAAATGTGGGAGGTTTGAACGGAACACGCTATATTATGTTTGTGGACATTATCCATCGTCTCGTCTTTATCTAAAACCCGTTCTGTGCCCCCCCCTCCCCCAAAACTCAACGTTTCGGAGGCTGGATTCTCCGGAGATAGGGACTGGCTCTATCGATTGGGCCCAACTGAGTAGGTTTTACCTGAGGATGGAGACAGAATCCAGTCCCCGAAACGTTGTGCTTTGAAAAATAAACAGGACAGTTTTAAATAGAGACGAGACGATGGATAATATGCAAAAACATAATATTTGTGCTGATGTACCCTTGTCTCAGACTTTTAGATTGTATTATTAACTACGTTTGTTTTACTTTTGGGCATTATTTGCAATATGTGCCTAAAATTAAGGCCCGTATGGGGAGCCTTGACCACCCTCAATATCGCTCGACTGATTCTGATGAAATTTGGCGTAAGCATGCCTCTATTGAAAGCCACCACAAGCAGGTGGACCTGATGTTTAATTTCCTACGTTCTGCTGTAACAGAAGAGTCAATGCATGAATTTGTGAATTGAGAGTAGCATAAGCTCCTAGCCATAGTGATATTAGCAATCCATAGTAACCATAGTAAATAACTGTTCAAATTGAAAGCATATACATAAGTACGCGTTATTTACATTTAAACGTCTTAAGTGAGCTATACAAGACAGTCATTGAAATCTGTACTTAATATGGTTAACCTTCAGAGCTATGCAGAACATCTAAGAGTGTTCACAGTATCAGGGTGCAAAGAATGAATATGGAAACTGTACTCCGGTACTTATTGCACGTTTCGATCTTGCCTAGTAGACTGAGGTATGTCATCTCTAGTATGTATTGTGCAGTGAGGAAGTGCAACTACAGCTGATTGGGTTTGCTGTTGCTTGTGTGTGTTTGTAAATTAGGCCGAAGAACACAGGCGCATTTACCGTTGACTTATAATCCTGCAGTGTTCAATTTTTACATCACAAAAGCAATTAGGAGGTTCTTTTCATAGAATTACTGTAAGTTTTATTCCTGCAGCTGGCCGGATCAGGCAAAGAATCCAGGCTAGTTACCCCTGTGCATAACAGTAGGTCAGTGCCAGGCGTGTGCACGAGAGGACAAAGTGCGAGGTGTCTGGATCATGGCAACTAAGATAACTTGTGTTACATCAGTCTGTAAGGGCATTGGCTATAGAATAGAAATGCCGTCTGGTGGTCATGGCTACAGTTATTAAGTTTAAGAAAATCGACAAATGAATTTCAGATTAATTTTGTAGATGAATTCTTACACCCCGATGCTTCACGAGGCTTTCCTGTTCTGATGGTGTGCATTTTGTTTTCAGCTGGCGTGCGTTGCAGCCATGTTGGATCTGTAAGCAACAGAGCAACACCGACTGTTGCATTCGGCAAGGTGTGAGATGGGAGTTAAGAACAATGGTAGATCAACGGGCACTCTCACCAAAGAAAAATTAATGCAGTAAATAGAAACAGAAGAAAGACTGTTCATACATGGCCCATCATGGCGGACTGGCTCACCAGACGTCTGCGTCGCCACCCCTCCAACAGCAGCAGCACAGCTCTATACCACCCCCGCGACCCCCGATGGCGCGGGTGCACCGTCCCCGCATGGCGATAATGACGTCACCACCCCCAACTACCATAATACTCCAGCCTCTAGGCACTGCGACGCCGGCGTCCCCCGTCTCAACTACTTCTCGGCGACGGCAGCAACCCGCAGCAACGGAAGTGACGCTTGCAGCCCCGCGACCGGACGGCGAACGGACGGTGAACGAGTATGTAGAAACGCCTTTTCGTCCTGCGAACGAGCAGCCAGGCAAGAACTTTGGTGAGTTAGTGCGCGAGGAGCGTGCGCGCGACCCGCCACACCGCCAAACGCTGCACCTGCCCATCCACAAGAAGCAGCCAGTGACGAAACAGCCGGGAGCCGCCGTAACTTTCAAGAAGGATGCTCCGGGTAGTAGTTCCGGTGTCAGCGCTCCCAGTGACGCAGGGACGAGTGGAGGCGACTGTTTCAGGGGCTCGATCCTTTGCCCCGAGTGCGGGCGGTGCCGCTGCGACGATTGTCGGCAACCCAGGCGACTGCCTTCTCGGTGGCTCTGTAACAATGCATGCTTCTGTTCCGCAGAGACGAGTCTCGACTATGCCTCGTGTCTGTGCTGCGTCAAGGGCTTATACTATCATTGTTCCAAGGACCTTGAGCTGGATCACGACGACGGATCGGCGTCGTGCGCGGACGATCCCTGCTCGTGCGGCCCTCACCGCTTCTTGGCGAGGTGGGGGTGCCTTGCGGCCCTGTCGCTTGCACTGCCCTGTCTCTGGTGCTACTGGCCCCTTAAGGGCCTTGTGGGATTGTGTGAAAAGTGCTATGCAGGGTACAGGAGACAGGGCTGTCATTGTGAGCCACGCAGGGACCCCAAACTCTCCGACATCACGCCGGAGAAAAGGTTGCTGGACTCCAGTCCTGACTTCTGAGATGTGTGCGCGTGAGTGTCAGTGGTTGGAAGGGATGTCTCAGGGTTTCTAAAGATTGGCCTTCCCAGTAGCCTGCACTGACTTCTGTCAACTATCCAATTGTAAAATTATCATCTGCTAACTTAACAGAGACTTATCCAGGCCCTTGAGAGCCTTTGTTTGTGTAAAGAAGCAGGAATACAATGGAATTTTAACCCTTCTGATGTGTTACTGATACTCCCCTAACGTTAATTTGATGTTTCCTTAATTGTATGCTTAGCAAGCATTGTTTGATGTACAGGAAGGCCTGGTGCAGTAATGGAGTGTCTGCACACTCGAAAATGAACTAATTCTGGCTGTCAGAAAATATTTGTATAACTGACTGCATACAGAATAACTGGTCTCATGGTTAAGTATGGCATTAATACCGTCTGTTCTATTGTACAATATCTGACAATTAAATAACCAGGCTGTTTTGGTATGGCCATATACCGTATTTACGCATGTATAGGCCGCAGCACAATTTTCAGACAGAAATTATAGAAAAAATAATTTTCTTGGAATATTATTTCAGGAGTATTACACCCTGTATTACTAATTATGAATATATTTTTTTTAATGAAGTGTGATTTCGAATATTTCGAATATAAGCCGCACCCCAGTTTTCCTCTTGAATTTTTGGCAAAAAATGTGCGGCCTATACATGCGTAAATACGGTATATTGAGTTGGCAGTATTCAAATTTCTTGGCCACAGATTTTTACTTGCATTCCAGCATCTCTGTCATATCTGGAAATAGTGCCAGAAGCCGTTTTCTGAAAATTCTTACTCTGGACATTTTTCAAAATGACTTTCAAAAAATTTGTTTGTTTGGGAACTTGAAAAAATTATGTGAATTTGTGTCAGGTGAATATGGTAGATGTTCCAAAATGAATGTCTTTTATAGCCAGAAATTGCCTTGCTGAAAATGGAGCAAGTTGTCATGAAGTAGACTCCACGTTTCTGGCCAAAATTTTGGTCTTTTATGATGAATATGGTCCCATAAATTTTGTAAGACATAAAGGTAGAGTACTAAGTTGACAGTTTTGGAAGAACAAATTTGTAACAGATAATTCCACTTTACTGAAAAGTAACAAGCATACATTCCTGTCCTTTAATTTCTCCAGCCAGCTTGAAGTTTTCTGGTCTTTTCAGTTGTTTGTGGGTCATACTGTATTATCCAGGTCGTACAGGTCAATCCCAACCCCTATGGCCAGAATCTTTCAGTGTTCCTGTGGAAAAGTCCAAGTAAATTTATTTTCTCCCCATAGTTCTGCACCAAACAAAGTAAATCTCAATTATTGTTTGATACAAAACTGTTGAATCTTGTTGTCATGTGATCTGATCTGCGTTGTTCACCACTGTTCAGAGTTACTACATGTAAGCATTGTCCAGGTATTTAATTGTCAGACCTCATAAAAATAACAGAATTAGCAGGAATATCAATTATTGGCTTTAATTCTTACAGAGTGTGCGCTTTGTGTGAGAAATTGATTTCATACCATTACAAGAAATCTTTACATATTCTTTGCAGTTCAAGCCAGATGGAAGGTGATTGCTTTTGTGTAGGGGTGTAGGGAAAAAAAATACATTTCTACCATTGTAAATCAAACCATTCAATGTATCTCTGTCTAATGTGATCTGAAGTTCATACAGTTTGTTGGAAATGTAGTACTCATTTGTTCAGTAATTGCTTTACATTACATAGTATGGCCAAGATTTGGGTCATTTAGACATCAGTGCTGTTCTTATACAAGGATACCATATTTATTCAGTTAGGGTTTGTTTTCATCAGTAACTGGTATCAGCATGAGATTCATCCACAAATTTGAATGGTGAAATCAGCAGAAGGGGAATATCAGTGTTTCCTGAATGCCCTCTTACAAAAACAACACTTCTTAAGAATGCAAGAAAGTAAAACAGCTTCAATACAGTGCTCTTCGTTTATGTGGCAGAGAGAGAAAAAGACACCCCGATTCTCATATGCAAGGTAACTCTGTATGTATATATTACATGTTACATGGATTGTAGGTACTAAATTATGATTTGTTTATTATATAAATTTTTAATTTCACAGTAAAATCAGGGAGTAACTTTTACAACTGGTACCATTATCATATTAATTGTATAGCTGTTAAGTGCATAAATATGTCGAGCATGTGTGGCATCCGGCATTCGTTTCAGGTTCAGCATCAGCGCAATTTTTTTTATAGAATCTTCAGAGTACTACACTGTTGAGGAATCAAAACGCGGAAATACTGTATCTCTTTCCCAAAACTAAATATAAGGAATTGAGTCAGGAATTAGGAACATCATAATCTACTAACACCAAGTGATCTGTTCAGATGTCAGTGTGGTGTGGTTGCTGATTGAAGTGGAACAGAAGATTAAAGCAACATTTAGCAGTAAAGTCATTTTTAAATTATCTCTGTAAACACGTCTGTTTCATATACTCAGCAAGCTATGCTTTACCATATTCATGCATTTCTGTTTTATTGTTGAAGAATATATGAAATAATCGTTTCTGTGTTGAATGTTTGGTTAGTAACCCAATGATAAGATTTTGACAGAGTAGGGGTGTGCTTTCAAAACACATTCTTGTATTTTTGGCATAGGTGTATTTTAATCGATATTGAAATGCCTTTATTAATTTGTATACTTATATGAATATGGTGTGGCAGGTATAGGATTCATTTTCACACCATTTACTATTGGATAGTTGAAAAGATCCTTCATTGGTGTCACAAGTGTAGGTATAGCATGAAAATCTCAGTCAGAAAACATGATGAAGTGCTATTCTTTCTGGTATTGGAGGTTCATTTGGGACAAGAACATTTTTAATTAAGTTATTTTTAAAAATATTGAATATAAATTGCATGTTGAATGTAATGGCAATGTATGATGGAGTTAAAAATTATTGGTACAGTTTAAAACGTCATGATCATGTATATTTATGTCTTGTCAGTGGGCAAATTATGTTCTATATTGTTCAGAAACTGTTGATATTTAAAATCGAAATGCAATTGTATGTGATGTCTTGAGCAACTAAAATTGTTTGATGGTCATTTACACAAGGAAGTTCTTGATACAGCACAGTTGTCTGGAACTGATGAAGAATTAAAACAATCAATTTAAATTCTTCCAAATTTAGGCTTCTTCCTTATTACACAGCTTTAATTTTTTCCTATTGTTTATGTTTATTCAGCAGCTAAGTTGAATTTTCTGTACAAAGCAGTTTAAGGCTGTTTGTGTGTTACAGATCTACAGTGAAGCATAAAATGTTTAGCATTCTTGCTCTTATATCATTGTATATTCCTGTGTACAACTGAATTTAATAATTGAAAATTCTAGATTTTAGTTTCCTAGCAAATTTAATGCACAGCGTGTATTAAATTTGGTGAACTGTAACCCATATTATAGGATGGAGATTTCTGACTTACCTTCTGGAAGGTCATGGGATCGAATCCCAATGAAATCATTAGATTTTTCAATTAACCTAGTTCTTCCAGCCTCACTGTGGCCCTGGGGTCGACTCAGCCTGTAACAGAAATGAGTACCAGGAATTTTCCTTGGGGGCTAGATGGGTGGCTGGTGTGTAAGGCTGACAACCTTGCCACCATCTAAGAGCCAACTGTCTAGAAAATGTGGGAGCCTTGATGTCTCACAACCCTATGGGCCTCCACGGTCTGTTACAGGGACAGCTTTACCTTTACCTGCTTTTCCAAAGAGACGCATCCCCTCGTTAGATACCAGTTTATTGTATGTCACTAATAAAGGAAGTAGACGTCATTTTAAATTTTTATATGCACAAAACTTACTGGATTCATCCTTGTTTTGGTCATATATTATAATTTTACTTTTAGACTCTTTGATGTGTGTGGGGGACAAATGCAGCAGCATTTGAGGCAAGTCCTTTCATTTAGAAAAGAGTACTGAAATTAAAAACTGTTACTGTCAATGCCAAGTTTGAATTTCTAGCGAACATCAAAATGAAAACATAATTTCGCTCCAACAGTTAAATGTTTGGTGTTTATGAACTGTCAGGGAAGTGATTAAGAACAGAGACAAGGATCATGTTGTTACCTTCAAGCAGGGTTGGCCAGCTGGCATCATGAGGCTTTTGTGATCTTCACACAATTGAGTTGAATTGAGTTCTGTGCATACATGAATTAGTTTTTAACACTAGCGTCCACCTTATGAACATGACCAAGATGTGAAGTAAGATGAATCAGGTGAAATCTATATAGACTTTATGTATGAGAAATGTTAAGAACATTGCTTGTTGAGACAGAACAGAATTCTTCATTTCTCATGGATAGATTTCATATCCAGCTTGAAGTAATTTCCGTGACCCTCACTCATCAGAAAGTGATGCTCAGGGAAATATTATTTTGTGACACACATGCTGTAGAACATTCATCGTTAAAAACTGATGCTTGCAGTTGTGAGGCTGATACACTTCATAAGGGTCAGCATGTACTGAGTATGTTCCCCTGTGTTTATTAAAGAAGTTGAAGTGTTGCTGAATTAATTTTACTGGTTTACCAGTTTAGAAATTTTTTGTGCAAAAATAAAAAGAATAATGAACAGGCCAAGTGAAATGTAACAAGAACTTTTTTTGTATTGGGTTATTGGATGATAGTATAGACATGAATAGAACTTGGGAAAGTATTACAGAGAACATCAGAACTTAACCAAAGAGAATTTAGATTGTTAGGAGTAGCATAAACCATAGTTTGAAGAGGGCCTATGCTTGTTAGATCAGAGGAAACAAGCAGTAGAACTATCAGGAGCAAAATTATTAAGTTTAAGAAGGGCTGCTGATCAAAACAAGTTGGTAAAGGATGAGAATGGTAATGTAGTGAATGGAGCCACTAAATTTTGCCACCCGTTACGTGAATTATGGGGAAATGACTTCCTTCTCCTACCAAGAATGGTCTCTAAGGATAACCGTGCCAACCTTGATTCGTCCAAAATCTAAAACACTGTGTGGCTCATGGGTTTGTCTCATGTAAATCTAGCCCAGCTTCATCCAATCCTGTAGCCCATTTCTGTGCCATTAGGCTGTGACCATTCCCTATCCTAAGCTTTACTGTTGCCCATCACTGTTCTTTTTCCAGGTTCAGTAAACATTTTGTAACTGTGCCAGAGAGTGAACTATTGCTTGTTCCAAGTAAAAGGTCTTGTGAATAAGAAATCGTCTGTGGTTCCATAAGCATATCCCAGCTTCTGATGCTTAATTTAATGCATTATAATTCAGGTGTGAGGAAGAGTTGTTCTTAAATTTATCCATCTGCACCCATGAACCCAATATAAGTGAATGTATTACCTAAACTCTGTACTCCAAAAGTCCATTGTGATAATAATATTTGTGAATGATATACCAAATTTCCTTTCACCTCTTTGTAATCTCATTTCACTGAATCAGATAGTTAGTTTCAGATTTAAGGAGGTTAGAGTTATGAATTCCATTTTTTGCAATCAGTGA